AGTTATACAGGGAAATTTACCTGACACATAATTATTATAATCTACATTTGCCTTTCAATCCACTAGCGTCCCTTGATTTAAATCTTTTAAATTTACTTGTTTTATCCAGGTCTACAAGAAGTCTACTTATTCTAAATTAGCAGCTGCTTAAAATTAAGACAAAGTTAACTAAAAAAAAAAAAAATAATAAAGAAAAATGAGCCTTGTTATATAACTCAGAATAATAATTTAGGATATCTTTAACAGGGTTCTTACCTGACCATTCTTTCTGACCATGATATTGTCACTATGCCTGTCACCAATTCCAAGCACATAAGTAGCTACACAGTAGCCAGCACAAGACAGGGTGAACTCTTCAATAGCTCGATCCAAGTCATCTCTAAAAATACAAAACACAAGAAAGAGTTACCAAAAAACTCATCTTGTATGTTAACATTAAGAAAACACATGAATTTGCTGAAACTGGATCACATGGACATTTTAAAACAGGGTTTGTGTTTTTTCTTCTTATGCCTCAAAGACAATTTTACCTCATGGGGAAGTTTATATCATAAGTTGTAAGCAAGAAAATGCAATAAAATTTACCCTAAATTGTATTCCTTTAGCCAGTTTAAGAGAGCATCTTTGTTGAAGGCAGCAGCAGCAGCAACATTGCTACTATTTAGCTGAATATCTGCAATAGTTTCTGAACTTGAAACAGCCTCAATAAGGCCAGAGTGGTCTCCTGTGGCTAAACAGCCATACGGCAACATCCTGAAACAAACAAAAGAAAAAAGGTAAAAGAAAAATAAATAAAGATATTAGGAACAATATATTAAATGTGTAAATATTTCCTGAATGGATATCTATGCTAATTTTATGAGGAACTCTTCAAAGTTAATACATGGACATGCTTTCAGAAATAAAAGATAAGTACTTCATTAGAAGTACAAATAAATAATGGGAAATATGAAACAAATCAGCTTTTCATTGAAGTGTAATTCTGTAATAGGGATGATAGAGGGAGCTATATCTTTTCATTTGTAGTTTACTGTGTAAATGAAGCAATTTATATAGTTACTCTCACTTAAAAATCCTTTCACACTGTCACATGGGGTTTGAAAAGACGTTTGTGTAAATAAGCATCAAGTTACTCTATAGTAGAATCTCTATTCTCCTATTTCAATTAACAGTTCTAGTGTGCCACCCCTAAATATGCATATAGTAATACTTTCCAGCATTTGAAAACTACAAACAGAAACATGTAAAAGACAGGGACAATTTTTAATTCTACTTAAACTAGCCTGGCTTTATAAAGTGTTTATATAATTCCTCAAAAAATGTTTGCACTGAAGCATGGAAAGTTACAGGTAAGTGCATGAAACAAGGGGCGATGTAGCTAAAAGTAAGTTTTTTCTCCAGTTCAATTTCTCATCTCCAAGAGAGTCAATGATCATGTTTGCTGTAAGAGAAAAAATGTGTTGATTTAATTAATGAGTTTGCCCCCACCCTCCCCACAAATACTGAGGAACACTGTGGTATCTCACCCTATATGTTTAAGGGCATAGGATGCTTCGGTGCACCACTAACAAGTACAAAGTAATAGTGCATATTATCTAATGGAAGTCATATGCTTTTAGTATGGTGAGAGCATGTGACATGCAAGATCTTCAGTCTAATTGAACTAGGACTCCTGAAATGACACATACTCATTCAGTACTGGTGATCATAGGGCACTGAGTAGAAGGACACCCAGATTTGGGACCTTTCTGGAGACAATTATGGAACAACTGCCCATTTAAGCTGCAGTTATGGAATGTGGTACATTTACTTTATTTTGAAGTTCCAAATATGAGCTTTATCATAGGATACCAAAAGGACACCAGCTTAACAAAAAACAACCCCAAAACAGAACGAAACACATGCTCCACACATTAATATGCCACCCATGTTTTGCAAGGTGGTTAGTTTTGAGAAATTATGGTAATTTTAGTATGTCAGTTTTATTGTTGACTGTCAAAGCCAAATGCACACACTACAAGGCACCAGGGCCAGTAGCAATGTTAATCTTTAGTGGACCACACAGCAAGTACGTTAGGTGGATTAGTACTCCGTCTAGTCTCCAGTTTGAGCCATTTTGTTTCCAGTAAAATAGAACTAAAATTAAAGATGACCAAAAGAAGTGCAAACAAGATGATTAGGGAGTAAAGAAGGGGTTATATAAACTAGGATTATTGTAAAGAGAAGTATTTTCATTAGAGATGCTGACCCTATTTACAGCTCAAATATAAAATTAGACTCAGCTAGTCTGGAGTTCTAATTGTATATTATTCCCACCACTAACTCTGGGAAAATTATATCTTCAATACAGGAGCCAATTCTAACATTAACATATGGAAAAGTGTCTGATCTAAACTACACAAACACTGAACTATGTACACAAGTTTATGCAACAGTAATGACAAAACATGCGCAAATATTATAAAGTCAATTACTGATTTTATAATCAGTTCAATCCAACACTACACAAAGCCTAACATATATTGAGAGGAAGTCACAAAACATAAAATGGTTGAAATGACACTGACCTATGAAAAACATACTGCAGTAGCAAAGAAGGACCAGAAGGTAAGCCCAGAGTATACTGCTGGAGGCCCCAACACCTTAGCTGTTTCCTTGTTTATGGAAGGGGTAGGGCCACCAAAGAGGCAAGCTGAGGCAGAGCTGCAGGGGAAGCTAAAAGGTTCATTCCAGCCTTACCTCCTAACCCCATCTAGATAGACAATTCTAAGACCACACAAAGAACTCAGGAAAACACCCTATAACCTGGTGAAATTTGTTGAAATTACTATAGTGCAAGGGACTGTAAAACATCAGTGATGGTAGAGTATAGACCTAGGCCTGGGGTGGGCAAAATATGGCCCGCAGGCCAGATATGGCCTGGTAGGTCATTCTATCTAGCCCACAGGGCCCCTAAAAAAAATTTAGAAAATTAATATTTATATGCCCCTGACTGCCTGTCAAAGATGACAGGAGTCAAGGGCAACAGGACCCAGGGGGGAAGCCGCCTGCAGGGCCAAGACTCAGTAGAAGCAAGGCTGACCTGGCCCTGCCCCTCGCAGCCCATGCCGGGCACAGGGTTCTGGCTTGGGTCCCTGGGGCTATTCCTGCCTCCCTGCGCCAGAGGGAAATTCAGATAAGGAGGAGGGGAAAAAGGAGGGGAGGATCGTGGGCAATTGCCCCAGTCCTCAGGGTCAGGCTAGGTCAGCTGCTATGGTCCCAGCACTGCAGCCAGGAACTATATAGTGATGGAGCGGCCAGCGGGGGATGGAGGGGAGTGGCAGTGAGTAGGCGGGAAGCGGTGAAAGAGGCATCAAGCAGGCGCACAGCATGCAGCGACAGCTGGGCGGGTGTGTGGGGCCTGCACTGGTGTCCCAGAGCCGATGCCAGCAGGGCCCAGAGCAGGGCAGCAAATATGGTTTGCATATTTGTTTTAGGTTTCTTATTCCATAAAAATGAAGAGTTTCCAATTCTGAAAATGGATGCAGACTGGCAAACATTTGTGCTCATGAAGACCTGACTACTGAATCATGGCTTCAGATTGGAACTAAACTTGCTTAGGAAAACTGAGTAACTGAGGAAAAAAAATTTAAAGAACTGAATATACAAGTCTAAGAGACAACTGTGAAGCAGGATACCCTCCTTAACTACTGACATGAAAGTAGGAGAGATTTATTCAAGAGTAATCAAACTAAGATAAATGATATTAAACTAAAATTAATATAAATAAAACCTGCTTGACACAAGAGCTCATAAAACAGTTTCTTAAAGTGACAGAAATCATGTTTCTTTGGATATTTAAACTATACTAGGTTAAGCACTAATAAATATAGTCAGGAATGATCACCTATTGGCAATGTAATTAAATAAGTCTCATTCCAGTGAGTGATAGGACAGAAAAACAAAATCCCATCTCTGTTTTAATAGGTGTTTAGTCCCAATAAAGCTTAAATGTAAGCAATTTGGCTATTATATAGATCCCCATTATTGCTAAGTATTTCAGAAACCCGGTGTGCTTTTTTGAAAAAAAGAAATTACAGATCTGGAACCTTTTTCCTATTCTAATCTCTTTCCCAATTGAAAAATCCAACAGTGGGCCCAAGCGTTTCTATAACTACAGTACCTCAGCACTCATGATACAAGGAAGCACTGCCCATCCTTATCACGACATGACAAACATGAGCCAAGTATTGCCAGGTTAAAGTGCATGCTGGCGTTCTTCCATGGGATTTCAACCCATCGTACTTGTAGCTTAACTGGGCACAAATCCAACAACTTCCCCTTCAAAAGCAAGCAATGATGAAAGCTACTCAGCCCCTTGAGGACAGTGTGCTTACAAGTGGAGGAAAAAACATCCTTGTCAGAGAGACAGTTTGACAGGAGTCAAGTTGGGGACAAGTCCGCAGGGCCTGTCCATCTCATCCTGGCCTTTCTGACTTCAACATCTGCCAGTGGGATACTTCCCCCTTTCCCCTCTTTAAGGCCATATAATGACCACTGACAGATCTACAAAATGATCCTTAGCAACAAATACCATTTTCTTTTCCCAATTTATTGTCTCCAAAATCACAGAAAATCATTTCAGCCATTAGCTTCCACCAGCTAGTTACTTTGACAGCTTAATTCTTCTAAACCAGTGGGTCCACCTCATCTGCTTCCATGGGCTAGTCTGTGGGTTAGGTCCAAAGTGTGGAGCTGCATCATCTGGGCCGTGGGGCTGAAATCTGGTCCTGACGGAACCGATTGCTGTGGTTTGCAGAGATGCAGCTGTTACCACTCCTCCCACCACCAAAATTCTGGCCTTACGCACAGCCGTATGCGCAGCTCTGTAAGCCAGATGACTTGGCTCCGGATTCTAGATCTGGCCTATGGGGCTTCCCTTGTGTCCAGAAATTTTGTGAGATGGTAAGCAGTGGCGGTGCTAATTGCCATGGCTCTAGGAACTATAGCAATTAATGCTGTCACTGCTTTCCACACTACCAAATTTCCAGATGGAAGGGGACATTTGAGAACCTGATGACACGGGTCCATGGGATGTATCCTGGGCAACAAAAATGGTTAGGGGGCTGGGGCAATGACTTATGAGGAGAGGCTCAGGGGTCTGGGCTTATTTAGTCAGGAAAAAAAGAAGACAGAGGGGATTTAATAGCAGCCTTCAACTATTTGAAGGGTGGTTACAAAGGGGATGGAGCTAAACTGTTCTTAGTGGTGGCAAATAACAGTACAAGGAGAAACAGGTCTCAAGTCACAGCAAGGGAAGTTTAGGTTGGATACTAGGAAAAACTTTCTTAAAAGAAGGGTAGTAAAGCACTGGAACAAACTACCCAGCAAGGTTGTGGAATCTCCATCCTTAGAGGTTTTTAAGACCTGGGTAGACAAAACCTTGGCTGGGATGATCTAGTGGGGATGGTCCTGCTTTGAGCAGGGGGCTGGACTAGATGACCTCTCAAGGTCCCTTCCAATCTTAATTTTCTATGATTGTATGATTTTATGATCAACCTCTCTACCCATCACTGTTGTACCAATTACTAAACACTGTATACTTAAGTGAGCATTACTCTGAGTAGTAAGTAACAATTTTACCCTTGGGAAGCCTATGACAGCACAACACGCTCTGGAAAGGGAAGCACAATACCTTTTAGCTGCAGCTTGTATGCATTTAAATACTGTAACTTTTTATTAAATATTATTTGCTACAGATATACCATTTTTCA